GATAGGCTGCTTGTTTATATTTGTTATGTTCACTGGTTTTCTTTAGTTATAGATGCCTTTACATGTATATGTTTTACTGATTCACACCATGTACTTTTTACTATATACAGACTTCATTTGAATTATTTATTTTTGCAGGAAAAGAAAACGAAAGAAGCACTAACGAGAAAACAAGAGAAAGGAAGAAAAAAAGGTCATGAAAATGAGGAAACAGCACCTGTAGAATTATTGAAAAGGCCACGGGAGTACACTGTCAAGTTTACGTTTCCCAACCCGCCGTCGTTGAACCCACCAATACTGGGATTACATTGTGAGTTCTGTAAAGTATACAAATATTGTGTGCTGCTTCACAATTTAAAATACACTTTGCCTCGCACTGTTAAAATTTCACATCTCTACTACAAGTAAAACACATTTATTAACAACAAAGGTAAATATTAGGGGTGGGTTATAGTGGGCCAGTGTTGAATGATTTTTCACAATTTCCTGTTTTAAAAGTGACGTAATTATTGATTTTGACAGTTGCCACCATAAGTACTAAGTGTTTGTAATGAAATGAAATTTTGAGATATGGTGTGAACTTTTTACCATAGGAACCAATAGTAAGGTCCAAAAATCACAATTTTCGTAATTGTTTGACCTGCATTTTGTGCAAAAATGAGTTTGCTTACCATACATTTCAGTGAACAGCATAAAATAAAACCATAGTGTAAATGTCAAGAAAATCTAGCATTGTTTTAGTGGCTGCCAACTACCTTAATTTTGAAACTATTTTCAGTCTCTTTTTTTTTTCTGATGTTAATTTTTCAGCTTGTACCTTCGGTTATCCTGGACAGAAAGAACTTTTTAAAGATATAGATTTTGGAATTGATTTGTCCTCCAGAAGTGAGTATTCTCTTTGTCTCAGCAAATGTGCTTTGCAAGTCAACTTTTGTAACCAAGCCATGAATGTAAAGTTGGACCATTTCATTGGTTACCCACTCTCTGCTAGTACCTGAATGGCTGCTGGAATTGTGTTCACCTCCACAGTCTGTGAGTAACCATGATGTTGATTGGCTGACAGTATGCTGCTAATCTGCATATGCTAATTTTTCTGAAAATGGATGACAGTTCTGTTTTTCCTCTTGCACACTTCATCAACTGATAGCTGCCACAGCAAAAAAAGAGCTCCATGCATCACTCTATCCTTTATGACGTTATGATAAATTTACATGTGCAAAATTTTACTAATTTGTTAATGGAAAACTAGTTGTTAATTTTCCATTTGGTCCAAAAATAACAAATTTTACACCAAAATGTTGTGGAAAAAATGGTGGTTTCCAACAAAATCCCATAATGAATTGACCTTTAATTAAAATGAGTTTGACATTCTTGTTTTAGTGGCTATCTGTGAATGTTTGACTGTATTATCTGTTATTTGACTCATGATGGGCCTTAAAGAAAGTCTGTGTTGAATACGTTTTATTTGCAGTTGCTATTGTTGGACCGAATGGTGTTGGGAAGTCAACTTTTCTGAAACTTTTGACAGGTGACCTTGTGCCGGTAAGTTGATTTCATAGCAGTTCTTTATGACTGAAATGATTTGCCTAATAATGCCTGAAAGGAGACTGGTATAAGTGTATATAACTTTTAAAGTAGAACATAATGATGGGTAGATATTTTTGCCAGGCATGTGATTTTTAATGACAATTACGATCATAAGGTCTATAAATTGCCTGGCCTTAAATACATCTAAGCAGTTATTCTGTGAAAACAAAAAAATTGAAAAACCCTTGGTATTATCGTTTCCAAAGGCATCCCCACGAACACAATTATGGTGTCAATTATTGCCACCTAGAAGCTACAAACGGGCAGGAAAAAAAAGTTTCTTTTATTATTTCCATGTTGTGTTGTCATATCCAAATGGTTATATAGGATAGCTAATTTGTTAAAATGCAGACAATTTAAGAACACTACAAATTCTTGATCTAAATGAAAACAAGCAAATAAGAAAAAGGGCATATGCAAACTTGTTTCCATGGAAACTGATTTTCTGCTCTATAGTCCTACTTCTTAAAGCGAGGGAGTCGTCACCTGCACATGCTATAGCGTGTTGTTTACAAACAAGCAACTACCCATGAGCCTTTGCGCTTTAGTGTGCGTTGTTATCGTTGCATGGGATATCGTTGTCTACCCAATGAGCCTTTGTGTTTTTAGTGTGCGTTGTTATCGTTGCTTGGGACTCAATCCCGCGTATGTGTAGGTGACGACACCTCCGCTTCAAGTTGGTCAAAATGCAGGTGAACTCGCGTTCATAATTCAAAAACTGATTTGGTTATTTCAAGTTTTTTCTTCAAACTTTCAAATATCCAGTTACAAAGACTCACTTCCTGTCCTGGTGACCTTGTTTAATTTCTGAGTTAGTGTGCCTATGCTAATAAACAATATTCGTCTGACTTTGTCTATGTTATAGTTAATGTATTAGTTAGGTATGTATGAAAAAAAGCAATTTAATTCATGTGTGATTTGATTTCAGCTGCAAGGAGAAAGACGTAAAAATCACCGTCTTCGTATCGGTATGTATAGTCAACATTCAGCGGATCAGTTAGATTTAGAAGAATCGTCCGTCGAGTATTTACAGGTATGTTTGCAATGTATATCATGTAGAGGTGTGGCTCAATTCGTGCCTATCTCTGTTATTTTTACCATTCGCACAGACTTGAACAAAATTTGCCTAACTTTCTAACATACAAAGGTTAACAAATCTTGCCTAACTATGCTATATTTGCTGCACTGGTGTGCTTGCCACATGATCAAGTCTTTCATAAATTCCACATAAAGTCCATATTGTATGTATACTCCCACTTCACTTTCTTGATATTGGCAAACCCAGTTTTACTCGTCATATTTCACTTTCTATCTACAGAGGCTATTTAATTTAAATTATCAAGATGCTAGGAAGACATTGGGAAGATTTGGTTTAGTCAGCTACGCTCATACAATCCGAATTAAAGATCTATCAGGGGGACAGAAATCCAGAGTTGCGTTTGCTGATCTGTCCTGTCGAGAACCAGACGTCTTGATCATGGTAAGCTGTAATGGCTTAAGAAAGTGTCATAGCTGGACAGAATAAATGTATGTAATGTTTGCTGTGTATATATGCGTCTCTGGGTCATTATTTAACATAGCATACATCTATTTCTCTGAGGAATTTTAAGTTACCCAAGAAAAATCAAGCCCATTTCTCGATGTGTAGGAATGGTTCAGGTGCAGTTGATAGCATAATTCTATATAACCCCATGTGACCACCTTTTGACCAATCATGGCACAGAATTTGGAAATGATGTGTTATAGTATTGACCTTCACTTCAATAACTTTATTTATTAGGTGCCTCTGATTGAATTTATCTTCAAGAGCAGTAGTTGTTGCAGTGCATCCTGTTTGATATTAGTTTCCATAGCAACGTATATTTGTCTACACGAAATATAAACGTAGGCTACATGACAATGATCACTGTTCAAGCTTACCCATCCATCCACTCTTGTTTGTCTGTCTCAAATGTATAAGTGTACATAACGATATTTTTTCATGCAATGGCTTTATTTATCTAATCTCTGTAGGATGAACCGACAAATAACCTAGATATAGAATCAATTGATGCCTTGGCTGATGCTATGAATCATTTTGAAGGAGGTAAGTACAGTGATTAACATATGCAAATCATCAGAATCATAGTGTATCAACCTTGCTTATTTTGTTACTCTAATTCAATAAAAGTATGCCCTCTATGGCGAAAATGACAACTTGAGGTACGGTATTGAGGTCACAGTTGTAAGCACTTCAACTTTTTTTTATTTATTTCAATCAAATAAAAGTATGCCCTCTATGGCGAAAATGACAACTTGGGGTTTTGAGGTCACTGTTGTAAGCACATCAACTTTGTTTATTTGTTATTTCAATCGAATAAAAGTATGCCCTCTATGGCAAAAATCTTCAGGTTTTTTAGGCCACTGATGTAAGTAATGCAATTTCCCCTTGAGATGAAAAATAATAATAAACGTAACCAAACAACTGCACCACACAGACATGAATTCTTTTTGATGTCATTGACTTTCCATTCCATGAAGGATTTTAGATCCATATTACGTAGTTGTTGTTATTTCATATACGCAGTGACGAATGCTGTATTATTACTATTATCCTCGGGGACGGACATCCAGGCATTTTCACCGCCTGGCAACCCTCAGGGTGAAAACAAATACCAAAAGCTCGCAAAAAAACGGTACTTTGGGATGGTTGTTGAGAGTCCCCTGAACAGTGTAACAAGATTAGCCCTACGTGTGTAACATATATGAATTTGGTGGTTCAGGATTACTTCAAAGTTGAGTTTGTATTGTTTTCTTGAATTTTCACCTGCTCAACCGGCGTTCCACAGTGCGTGTCTTAGCAATGTGGAACGTTTTATGACGTAGCTCCACCCCGAGGATATTGGTTTAGTTCAGATGTAACACTCTCAAAGTATGTAACATTGTGCACTGTTTTATTTCTTTTTCAGGTGTTATCATAGTGAGTCACGATGCTCGTTTGATTTTGGAAACTGACTGTCAGCTTTGGGTCGTAGAAGACCAGACCATTAATGAAGTAGATGGGGATTTTGATGACTATAAACGTGAAGTATTAGAACAGTTAGGAGAGCAAATAGCTGAAGCCACAAAACCTTTCAGTAAATAAATTGTTGGGTGGACATAAGCACTTGCATTGTTTGTAGCCTTCGATGAACTGTTATTTTCTTCAGCAATCTGCAAGTCAACAGCGTCCAACATCTTAAACAAGGTGATTATCTACCAGAACTTTAAAGTCAACTTTAGTCTCCATTCACAGATTTTTTTCCCACAAATTTTGATCAACAGATAGTGACAAATTATTTCTATCTGTTACAAAATTAACAATATTGGCGTTCAAAGTAGTAATTACAAGTCGCCTTGTTATTTACAAATTGTTGAGGATGACGAAAAACAGAAACATTTCATTCCGAGAATGATAACATTTGTGTTGACACTCAGTTACATAGGAAACATAAAAAAGACAAATTTTACAATCAGTAATATGTTAACATGAGTGTTATCTCAACATACAACAGTAAGCTGCACTGTCATATTGTACATGAAGAAAAGAAATATGTTCTAAACATTTTTATATCTACAATAAATAGAGCATACAAAGTAATGGTGGTATTATTTATTATGCTATGTCGTGTGTACTGTTCAGTTGCCTGTATGATCCTGTATCATATGAGCAACTGTGATATCTGTGTTCCTGTTTGTTTAATAGGGGTTATATTTTTCATTTGATCCCCCACTACATGATATTTCAACCCTGTGTTTGTTCGTTCCCAGTAGACGTAGTACGGAACAATAAGACTTGTGTTTTGGACGTAACAGGATCAATTTGACATGATTTATTTTATGCTTAGATTAAAATTATTATCACTGATTTAACCATCTAGTTAGTCATCATATCCTGTCATTTATGTTTTCTGAGCACAGCCAAACACCAAATGCAGAGAACATTTTTTTTTCTGTTGTGTAAATCTTCTGTTGTGGTGACTAATATAACGTAGACAACTGAAAGTGAACAATGCTCACAGAAATGAGATCACATGTTTTTTAATGTCAGAGTAAATTGCATATTGGAACATGAAAATTACATAAATATACGTAAATAACACTGTTTACACTTTTCACTGGAATTGTATTTTACGGCAATCCCGGGAAGGTGAATCACATGGTACCATGGAAAGAAGAGACGTGCGTATTTCTCGCCGCCAACAAACATAAATATTTCTTGCGGTGATAGCTAACACTACTGGTCTTTATTTTGATTTAATTTCAAGTTTAAACGCACCTGCTTGAAGGAAAACACCATAGAGTACAAACATTAACACTCTGTTCCTGAAATACGATAAATTTAACCTTCAAGAATAAAAGCGCACATTTGTCAATTAAGAAAGCGCATGCGTTCCTAATAGAGGAAATCGGGTATATTCCACTAGTAAGAGTAAACAGTGTCCATCCTGCAGTACGCATACTCAAATACCGGCTTTCTACTTTTAACACTTGTCCACATCCAATTTAAAGATTTCTTGCTGATGTAGGTACACACATGATAAAGAAAGCATATGCAACTAACACCTTAGATAATGTGTGGTATTGAAAGGATCAGTGTCAAATATCTACCGGTAACTACGGGGTACATGTTCTAAACAAAAAATTAGTTCACCAATCATGCAATAATTAGGTTTGTGAAAATGGCTTCCTGTATGAGAATAATAAAAACTTTTCCATGAACTATAATTGCAATCTAGTTGTTCTCTGGGAAATCTCTCAATAGTCAGTGGTCAGTTTGTGCTCAGATATATGGCAGTGCCATGTTAACATCATCGTTTTCAGTATATTGCCCAGCAGCCTGTGCTGCCAAACACAACCGTTGAAAACGCAAAAAACAGTACCGGTACCTCGGACTAGTTGTTGAGGCTCTCCTGAACAAGATTACCAAGAGTGTACCAAGATGTGTACATGTGCAGCATATTTACATTTACATTTCGTTGTTCTGGATTGTCTAAGTTGAGTTTGTGCTTTCTTGACTTTAGCTGTTTTCACCTGCTCTTCGATCGGCATTTCACAGCACCTCATGCAGAGCCCATAGACGTATATAGCTCCCGCCACGCCACCCGAGAGTATTGAACATTGACCCGAGAGTATTGACTTCCTTTGCATGAGGGAGTATTCACACAGTGACACTTGTCATAAACTCTTTTGTGCTACTAGTATCTTGGTCTCCGATCTTCTCTCTGTGAATTCAAGAAATTATAGCATTGCTCAAATCCAACAACATTTGGATCCATTTTGTTATTCATTATTATTTCGGGTTTTTTTTGGGGGGGTATAGAATATCATTATTTATTTATTAGGATTTTTTTTTCTTAAAGGGAGTGGAAGTACCGGCAGCACACGCGGTCACTGATTTTTTTTCTCTCGCCGTGCTGGAAACAAATGATTTGGTTACATTTACGGTGGACAACTACCATAATATTGGATTGCGTACGTAATGTACGTGCTGACCGTTTCTATAAACTAGTTTGAACCCTGGACTTGTTATTGTAGGGTTTAAGATGTGTGCTCAATTGTTTTTGTTTTGACTAGACGCCTCCTTGAGGTAAATGTTTTCAAACCATAAACAATAACAATTATCCGATAAACACCAGTAAAACACGAGTGCATATACAAAAACGTTGCTGGCTCTGGTCTAGTCGAACACCAGTAAAATAGTCATTGCGTGATCTGATATGGTGAGCAAAATTCTGCCGACTTGTATAATGTTGCTCACCTAGGCCCGCTCTGTTTCAACTCCATTACGACATAAACTCCCCCGAATGGAACGACTTTCGTTTCAGTGTTAATGATTGACGACCCTTAAACTAGTTCAAGCGGGGGACCCCCTACTGTATTGCGCAATTTTGTTTATATGCTTAGATGAACACAACTGCATCGATCAGGTTTGAACGTATTTTTCAAAAGTAGCTGCAATCAAACCTAAAAATAAAGATGACCACATTGGCCTCTACCCCATCCTTGACTATGCCGACCATAATTTATACATTTATAGGTTATGCACATAGTCTGAATAAATGTCGATTTATAATGAAGAATTTGGAGTACATATCTTGCTTATTAAAGTATACGATTGCCACATGTACAGCATAACGCTGAATTGAATAACACTGCTCAAATAATAATCATGTTCGTACTTTTTATTACTTCTAAACATAGTTAATACAGAAAATGTTCTTCTGTCACAAACGTTTCTATTTTGACAAGAAAATGTACAGTAAGTCTATTGACTGCACTTTAAATGTTATTTAAAACATTGCAATGTATAATGAAAAATGCTAAATACACAATACAAGGTATTACTATTTGTATTATATTAAAAATAGATAACAATACCTACAATTTGGATATTGTAAAAATGTACTCTGTCCAAACGTTCGCTTAAATATAAATGTGAAAGTAACACAGTATAATTCTCTATATACAAAAATGTAGTTTAAATTCGTATTTATTCAAATATAACAAAAAGATACACAATACAAGGTAATACAACTGTATTAAAATAAAAATTAGATAAAAAAAGCCGACAATGTGATATTGTGAAAATGTACTCTTCAGTTGTTCAAACGTTCGCTTAAATATAAATGTAAAAGTAACACATTATAATTCTCTACATAGTTAATTTATTAAAATACAATAAAACAAATCATGTAATTTTAAATACATTTCATTTACATTTAATTAAAATGGAGATTGTTATGCGAATGCAAAAAAAAATACATAAAATGCATATTGCGAGTAATACTGTAATTTATGTGTAAGATTTTTGTAATGAATAAATAATTTATGTATACACAATGTCACAGGTATCGATAATGATTTTGAAGTGATCAATGAGTGGATGGGTATGACAGTGCTTCTTATATTTGTATTATTGTAACTATAATTTTGCGATTACCAAAACTTGAAAGAACTACCAACATAAACAAATAAATTATAATGAAACATATATTTAAAAAATGAAAAAAAAAAAAAAAAAAAAATTAAGCAAATACGATAATTTCAAGAAACAGTGTCTTCAAACTCGAGTTGGATAAAACACATTCTTGGACATGCTGACTTATCTGAAGTAAAGATATATATAATGAGGGAAACATCACTAAATTAACTAAATTGTTGACAGAAAAATAAAAAAATAAATATTTACAATCATGGAATCAGCATGTCCCAAAAACAGAATTTCAGCAAACAAATTACGAACGTATAATTTGTTTAAAATGGAATATCATGAATTTGAATGATATTTAACATAAATTCAGGATTTCAATTTGAGAAGAATGGTTACCAAGTTTCGACTTAGTGACCATAATTTGGAAATAGAATTAGGCAGGAGAAAATTCCAAAGAATCGAGGCAAACAACAGATTGTGTAAAAAAAGCAACACAGGTACAATAGAAAATGAAGAACATTTCATACTTGACTGTTGCTTCCGAGAAGACTGTAAATTAAAAATGTGTAAAAAAGCTAAGCGAAATTAAATGTACACTTGCATTTTAAATAGTAGTACTACACTTGCAAAATACTTAAAAAACACAATTTATAAACCTAATTGTGAATCCGTGTAATTGTAATTTAGATTTGTTGTTGTTGTTGTTGTTGTTGTTGTTGTTTATTTGTGTTTTTTTCTGATCTGTATCCTTACCATACAGCACCCACCGATGGTGCAGTTGTGTAATAAAATTATTATTATTATTATTATTATTATTATTATTATTATTATTATTATTATTATTATTATTATTATTATTATTATTATTAAAAGTCAAAACACTAAGGCGTGGCGGAGTAAACATGCGATCAGCCAATCGCTGCAGTCTTTGGCACGATCACTGCCACTACTAAATACAATAAGTAAACATTTATAAAATTCCTGTATTATATGTTTATAATCTTCACCCTAAACATGCACGTTGTTGATTCTAAACAATAGTCTAACAGCGTGTGAACCGAATGCGCGAACGTGAAGTCGCTATCATAACAACAGTAACGCAAATAAATCACATGTAAATAAATTCAACCTGACTTAATTTACATATCTGTGGATATAAATGACAACAACTTATTCTGTTTTTTGAATGCGGCTATGAAGTTCACCTGGTAATGAAACTTGGAGAATATTTTAATTAATGTCACTATTGTCAACAATGATCTTGATGTACGCCACGTCGTCTTTGACGTATGCATGTCGTGGACTATGAATTTGTGCAAGAGGCATAAACAAAGGACACCCACTTGCGATATTCATATCTTGGCTGGGTCGTTTAAATGAGTTTGATGTTGGGTCAGGTCTGAACGCATCGATCACGTGCTCTCGGTGATTTTGATCTATCCACATTAGCGTGACCTTCTGCCGAAATGGCCATCTTAAAAGTCCGTCAAAAGTTCCTCTCATAATTACAAAGAACAGAGAAACGTGGTTACCCTTTCCCATGCCATCCCCATTAAGGTAAATACGAGCGCACATCTTGTAACCATGGCGACTAGTAAAGAAGCAAGGGGAGTATATCGAGAGGGTTCTCTGAGAAACTGCATCGCATTGTTTTTGTGCAGAATCTGTTATTTTCCACACTAAAACTCCATCGTAAGACGTCATCTCTAAAGATTGAATTCTTAAATCTTGTTCCGCAAGTGCTACATCTTTCATTGCAATAATTCTATCTTGTGATTTGATCTTTCGCTCTAACGCGTCTGATCGTTCTCTTTCTCTTTTCAAACTCATTTCTACTTCTTTCAGTTTTTCAGCTTCATTTTCAACTTCGTTACTCAAAACACCTACAATACCTTCGTATGTCGTGACCTTACTGTGTAAAAGTTTTGTCTTGTTGCCCATGTCTTCGATTTTCTTGCCTTGCTCTTGGATGAGTCCTGTCACTAGAAGCCCATTTGGATGCTCAGCCGTTCTCTCTGACTCTGTCAAGCGTTTCTTTACCTGAGTTTCCAGATCATGTACGGTGGTCGTCAAACTCTCAATTCCTTGTTGCTGCTTTTCGACCGTTTTTTTAATGCTCATAACGCTACCGAATTTGCCGTTAACGTCCTGTACCATGGCTAGAAATGGTATCAGGTAGTGAAACAACAGTTGTAGATGCTGGACAGTGTATTCGTGATGGTGTTCTTTTAATTTCCCAATCTCCATCTGTAAAAGAAATGTTACATTGTCAATGGCTAGTCAACTTAGCTAGGGATGATATAGAACCCCAAAAAACTATAATATAAGTCTGTTTTCACCAAGTGATTTATTGTGTAATGCAGACCTTATTCTTACCTTTCTTTCGCATCCAACTTTCTCGAACTCACATGGAACTATTTTCTTGCTACAGTCTCCATTATTTGCATCAAGGTGCAATTTAAGCTGTAATTAATAAAACGAAGCGTATATTTAGTGATTGCTCATTTCATTTTACAGTAGGATGATTCTATTTAGAAAATACTAAATTATGCAAAGCAACTATACCTCTCCTCGTGGTATGTTCTGCTTATGACAATTTGGGCATTCCGATGGCACTTTGTCACATTCTTTAGTATGCATCTGAAATGATTAAATATGATTACAAATTAAACATATAGTAAAACTAAATATTTATCAACTTACATTTTAAAACAAAATATTAACATAATATCAGATAATCATTCAACATTTTCTATGACAATCACTATGCAAATATGATGGTTCGAATGTCATCAATAGGCATCACATATTATTGCTGCGTCAAGGGATATATTTAAATTACCTTAATTTCCTTATATGGAAGTTGAACATCACAGTAATCACACTGTATGACTCTCATGTCACACTCTGTACGTAAATGATGTGCAAGAGCATCTCTTCTGACTTGTGCCTCACATCCATACTTTATACAATGTATCACCTGGGCGGGACACTCATCAACATGAGTCTGTACAAATGATAATGATCATATATGTCATTCATGAATATGGTTGTCATAAACTTGATGAATTGCTGGAGGTGTTTATGACGATTTTATGTATGAGCACTTACTGTAAACCATTATATCTAGGCGACCTCTGGTATCCGATGTAGTATAAATATATGAATACGACCCAGAGGCAAATTTTGATACACGGCTGTACAACCTGTGGTCACAAAAGTACATGGGAAATACTACTGAATGTCAACGCACTACCAGCTAATTTCAATGACACTTTAAGACTACCCCAGACCATTCGTCCCGGTGTTATCTTTAAGACACGTCTATTTTTAAATACTCCATGATTGAACTGTTTTATAACATTCAAATAAACATTATTGTTGGTGTAACTGTCTGGTCATTTCTGGGTTACTCATTTTCATACTTTTCGAAAACTATCGATGTTGCTTATATATCGCATTTTTCTAGAATCGAATAATGAGGAGTCTTACCTCGTCGTAATCTTTGAATATCCCAGTCCAATTACATCCTTCATTTTGACAACGAACTTCATATTTACTCAATTCTCGTTGTATAGCTTTATCTTGATAGCACTGTCGAATATAAATCAGGGTTATTATAGATGAGTATAGAGATGACACAAATGTGGGTTTTAACATCGACCACAGTGAGGTGGTTAATGTTCTAAATCAATGAAATCGACATTTACATTTCGCGATTAGACCAACCTGTTCCAATGCTTAGCTACACACTCGATACGTAAATGCGACAAAACTTCAGTAAAGATGAACATTTAATAACAATAGAAGTATACGGTACATTTTGCCATGGTGTAGTATTATACTACGTGGATCCACGTTTTATTTTCTGTTGTTACAATATTTCAGTGGTGAATATAAACATTGTGACGCCCCGATAGAATGAACATTATTTTCATGGTCGTTCATTATTCACCACTGGTCTATATGAAACTGGTTTTACTCATAATACATCATGTACGTACCTCCTCTGTACTTAGAACAGAATGACTTCCTTCTTCCTTGCATGCATTACAAATTGGTGGTGTGTGCCTGTTGGCGGAAACATTAGATAGATGATAAGGTCAAATTGCTATCGATTATAACATTGACATCTATATTTTCCGATAAGGTCGTTAATCCATCAAATTACGTGCTAAGAAATCATAAGCCCCGTTTGAATATTGTTTCATTCAATCTTGTCTTGGTCAATCGTCAATACATATTAATATCTTTGACCGTTCGAGCGAGATGGTGAGAGAGTTATTCACAAAATTTGACATTCGTGTTGAAAATTTAGGGCGATTTTAATGGATAGTATCTGTGTCAATATTTGAAACACAATATTTGAAACCTCGTATATCAAAAATCGTAGTCATTTGAATAAAATATTTTAAATTGGATATAACATTGAGTAGTCATCAATCGGATCCATTGAGCTAACAAAAAATAAAAGAATTTATCGTGTTTAAGACCGGTCTGTTTATTGAATAAACAAGATTAAAATTTGGTTTGCTTTCACACAGTCAAAGGAAGCGTACTCTTTTTTTGGATGCAGATTTGTTACATATCCAATCATAGACCTCAGAAATCCTCGCGGCTTCTCTGTATTTACGTAAATATAGGGGCTGGGAGATATAACGACACAGATGTATCTGTCAAAAAGTGTCTATTTTGTGAGCGGAACCCCGTAAAGGACGAACAACATTTTCTGTTCACATGTTATCATTGCGCAGAAGAAAAACTTCCAAAATACACCCGAAAATTTAGCAAAAAAATAAAGAAAAACTAAAATATTTTTATTTTATTATTAAGATGAGAAAAAAAATAATATAAATAGCAAATACAAAGAAAACTGTTTCAAAACAAGAGAAGAAAAACTGAAAACAAGAAAGTCTCAAGATAAGGTCATATCACAGTCCCTCTATCCTCGGTCTGGAAACGGTCATTGTATTAGGTGTGAATTGGCCTCCGTTCCTGGCAAAGGCGCATTGCGGGTATGGGTAGAGCATTGTCACGTGATCAGTACGCAGCCGGCCACTATTTTTGACATCGTCAGTGTTATGTACTTTTTTTACAACTTAGTTGTTTATTCCAGAATTCGTGCTTTTTCACATAATTTTTTAATCAGGATATCTGTATTAGGTCATATTTTAGCCGGCGAGTAGTTCTTTAATTCATCTATTTTACCAGCAGCGACACATTTTCGCAACAAATGTTCATACCTTTACCCAGATATTTGTCGTTTTTGATTTTGGGGTGATTGAAATGAACTCTATTTTATTTACCATACTTCTCGGCGCGAAACCAATATTTGTCTTCGATTTTGACATTTTATGATCGAAACATATCATTAAAAATTGGTGGGCTGATTTGTTATTTGTCACACCGCATTTTATTAATGTTAAATTGAGCGACTTTTATGGATGCTTTTTAGATCGTAAATGCAAATGGCGACGTTTTGAAATGACAATGTACTCAATTCTGTGCTAAAAAAATCATTTATATACAAACATTGTTATATACTTTTGCATAGAATAAAGTCAGTGGTTGTTGTATAGTTGACTTGAACTGTTGAAACCCCCAAGAATCAGAAATATCACAGGTTTTTCGATCGACTACGTTAACATGAACGACGCTATTTTGACAAGATTTGTTTAGCGATGTCAGCATGTTGGCACGCGAAGTTTTTTCCCTATTAAAACGAGAAAATGAACATAATTCCCGATATTAATTTTTGCATTGCAGGAACTGGGTGTTTATGAGTTGGTAGGCTGGTTGTGATGCGTATCAGGGTTAAAAAAAACAAATTTCATAGTGATAATTGTGTTTACTTGTTTGTTTACGTTGTGGTTGCCCGAATTTGAAGTCAAAGTTAAGTCATACAATGAGGTATCGTTTTGCATGACGGTAAATTTTCCAATTTTAATGAATATTTTGACGGTATTGTAATCTGTCTGACTTCGTGACTCCCTCGGCCCGGGTGTGAACGGTTTGTTTACCCGCACCGCGGTTCGAGACAAAAGAACGCTAGTCGTTTCCAGACCGGGGATAGAGGGACTGTGGTCATATACATGCATTAGTAAACCAAATATTTACCAACACAAATATGAAAAACAATCCAATTTACTTTTCCATTATTTTTTCTACTTTAATTTGCTTGTCAGTTATTTTATTCTAATATTGTTTGTGTTTTTTCGCATCTGTATTTCATTTTATTCAAAATCAAAAACGCAACACAGATTATTATTGTTTCATTTGACTACAGGTTTTACATTTCCATCAACGCAGTAACTCTTGTGGACATACAGGGTGAGAAAAATTGTAATTCGCTTACAAGTTTTTTTATTGCTTGCCGTGCTGTATGTCCAGTTTTCTTGGACAGTTCTGGCTTGGTTAGTTAAAGAGGAGAGGGGGTAGCTAGTACAGTTTTACGGGAAATAAAAAGGGCTTTTTACAATTTACAAGGAAAAAAGTACGTTTTTACAGTTTACAGTGAAAATTGAATTTTGCAGTAAATTGTGCCATCTAGTCGTTTTACAGTTTCGAAAATGTAATTTCCCTGGATTATTCTTTACGACTTTTTTTTATTTTGGATGTAAATTATTGTACGTACCGAGAAAAATGACACATTTTTACAGTGTACGACAAAAATATTTGATGATTACGTTGTACGTCTAGCCTGTGATTACAGAATTACGGAATTTATTTTTTTCAATTTACGTTGTACGAACAAACAGATATTGCAATTACGTTGAACGAAAATAACCCTTGCCCCCTAGTTATGTATTATAAAACCAATACAAACTTTAATACTTGACGCAATGATCCCGGGACCCGCCGTAGGCGGCAGTATTTTCATTCGAGGTCAATTTTGGATCACCAGGTCATTCCTAAACGCGTAATTAGGACTGAGTCAAGAATCAATTTTGGATGCCAGAAATCATCAAAAGACGTTTATTTGGGTATAATTTGCGCTGTCAAGACAAAGTTCAGGCTAATAAAATAAGATTAACGACGTTTTCCCATGAGAAAAAAGTGAATTATTTGTTGAAATAAGCGGAGAAAAATTGATACGCAGAAATCGTGACGTTGACTCTACACATGCAATGCAGCGTCATGGAAATTGTCTACAGTACACGTACACGCATCTTTCGATGACGTAATTATTTTGCCAGCCAGCCC